CACAAGAAAATAAGGTATGCACCTAATTAATTAACTTAGTTCTCTTTTAGAAGTATCAGTTAAATCACTATAAATTAATACAAGCAGTATTAACACAATTCTATTAATGTAGTAAAACAAATTAAACTATCAAAGTAATAAGTAATTCAGTATATTTTTACTGAGTGGTGACCGAAATAAATTATTATTTAAGCGAGAGTATAGTTTATGGAGGTTCTACTGTATATATAATTGATAGATTATTACGTGTAAATGGATCGACAGGTTGTCAAACGCAAGCTACCAAGCTCAAGCTCAATTCGTGAACCAGTGGGTTCAATCGCACATAAGCGACTCCCAATCCATAGGAAAGCCGTTTGTCATATCGGAGTTCGGAAAATCGTACAAATACCCGGGTTACAGTGTGGGAGCAAGGGATTCGTACTTGAGCGAAATATATACGAGCGTTTATAATTGCGCAAAGAGCGGAGGACCGTGTGGAGGTGCACTATTTTGGCAAGTGATGGATTTGGGAATGGAGAATATGGGAGATGGCTATGAAATTGTTTTGCAGAAGAGTTCTTCTACTGATTCTATTATCTATGCTCAATCAAAAAGGATGTCTTCTCTTCATTAATTAATTAATTAATTAATGTGTATTTATGTACGTGTTATTGATGTTCGGGCACTTAATAAATAAGATTAGCGACGTTTTAGTTTAATTAATTAGATGATGAATAATGTAATAAGATCTCTTTTTGGTGGAAAAGATCGAAATTTTAATAATATCATGAAATAAAAGCAATTAAGCTTTTTTTTCTGAATTTTTTTTTACTTATACATGCATATTATATTCGGTATCTATCAAATGGATCGGTAAATATTTCTTGAAATAATTCGTTTATGGTGTTCTTAGCTTGACGAAGATTTAGGCGAAAAGAAATAACAAAAAGGAGGATTTCGTAGCTTTATGCAAGTATATAGAGGGATATAATATAAGATAGTGTAGTATCTGTAAAAATATACTACTTTTTGAGTCTCCAGTAGATTGCACTTGTCGAATTCTTATCGATAACTCGGAAGCTCTTATCGAGCAAGCACTCGTTCATCAAATGTATGTTAAAGAAATCGGGTTATTAAGATTTGATTGAATTAGTTAGAATCATACAATATCATAATATGATTATCTTATATATGGACTTATAATTATACAAATATCATTGATAGAATTATGAGATAAATGGGGCCGGGATTCAATTAAAATCCGGGTCCTATGTTTTATCATGGGCTTGAAATATAAAACGTAAACATTTGACGAATCTTGATTATATTGTCTATCAAGTCATGTTATAATTCTCGAACGAGGCCTTTATCTAAGACCATCTTCCGTCGGATTTTTTTTCCCTCTTAAATATTAACTTACTCGTTTTTTGGTCGTGTATTTTTCCAACAGGGGACTGAAGTCAATTGCAGATAGCTAGAGAAGTAATGCTGCTATATGATATCGTGCAACGAGCCGGTGAATAGAGATGTTGTCGTTAATCGGCTAATTAAAGACTCGAAGATTTATCAATTAGCATGTCTAAATATTCAGATTCGATGTGTATATGATTCTGAAATAGCATGTAGAAAAATTTAAAATTAAAATTAACACTTTGAATGTAGCCTTCGGGTTGCATTTGAATTATTTACTTTAGTTTTGAGGAAGAATGTGAAGGAGAATTTTGATAATTTTATAATAAATGAAAATTTTAAATTCAAATTAAGTTACAAAATGAGAAAATTGGGCAAAGGACTCTAATAGTCTTGGTTAAGTCAATTTCAAAGAAAATATATCAATGGGCATATTCGTCGATAAGAAAAAGAAAAAAGGAAAAAACTAATGTTCTGGCATTAGTAAAAGCAGAAGTTAGTAACTGCGTGTTAAGTTGGAATTAAGGGATTATTTCTAAAATTGAGGGTGTTTGCAAATTAGCTGAAATACCAATTAAAAAAAGAAAAACCATGTACATGTGTGCTTTTAACATTATAGCTTAAAACAACTTATTTAAAATAAGTAAAAGCAAAAACTAATTTTGCAAACACCTAGTAACAGATTATAAGCTGAAAAAAGCTTATAATTTATTTATATAAACTTTTGCAAACACCACCTAATTAACTTGGAAAGCGAAGTCTAAACTGAAATTTAGTACTAACAAACAAAGAAGATTTACAAGCAAAAATATATTAAATTAATTAAGTCTCCATCATAAACTAAAATTAAGACAGTTAGACAACCATAATCATGACTTGGCCATGATTATATCGAAGGTTAGCATGGATTTCAATCTTTCATCATTGAAAGTCATTATTGATTTGGTGTGTGATTATAACATGTATTAATTTTTTTTATTACACACAAGTGGAGTGATTTTATTTTAAGAATAAAGTGATAGTACTAAGAAAGTAGACAAAACAAAACATCTTTTAACTAGTTTTAAAACATATACATTTTTCAAAATATGGTCGTTCTTGAGAAATTGGGAGGTTTAAGCCAGTTCTATGATTTTATAAAAAGGGATCCTATTTATTGTATAATGTACGAATTAATTCATTATAAGGAATATAAGTGGACGGGAACTTTTTATTAACAATTAAGAATTTTGAAGGAAATATGACTAAAATATTTGATGAAGTTAATGTAAATCAGAAGTTTATGGGGTTTGAGGCAAATTTCCATTTCATCCAATGAAATGGATAGGATGAAATGGATATTAGGTAAAAAATTGTAACCTTCATCTATATGTATATGAGCATGAATGTGTGCCTTAATTTGTGTGTAATAAATAATTACATTGTATCTAGTGTATTTCTTGGGTGTAGCATAGAATAACCAAATTATGGTAAAGGAAAGGAAAACATGATTGCAACTAGGGGCAGGGAAGGGATATAACTCAGCGGTAGAGTGTCACCTTGACGTGGTGGAAGTCATCAGTTCGAGCATGATTATTCCTAAACCCAATGTGAGTTTTTCTATTTTGATTTGCTCCCCCGCGGTGATTCAATAAGAATGGATAAGAGGCTCGTGGGATTGACGTGAGGGGGCAGGGATGGCTATATTTCTGGGAGCGAACTCCGGGCGAATATGAAGCGCATGGATACAAGTTATGCCTTCGAAAGTATTCAATCAGATTGGAATTAGTCATTTCGGTGAAATTTCAATTTTTTTCATTAGAAGTGAAATCTAGTTTCAGTATCGTTCCAAAAACAAAATCGGAAAAAATCACAACCAAAATTTTGAAAATTGCAACGAAAAAATTTGTCCCAAAAAAAAAAATTCTGATCGAAATCATCGCAATTCGAAAAGTACCATTTTTGGTGAACTAAAATATTAAATACATAATAATATTTGTATTTTAAGTGCAATATTCAGATTTTGTTTTTGGAATTTTCGGATTATTTTCATAACTTAAAATTGGATCAATAATCGAATGTCATATTGTTGGATGCTAAATACCAACACGCAAGTGCACGTATCGCAAACAAGTAGTAAAGTAGACTCGTGAGAGTCGGATGTCGATCCCACAGGGAATACGCAAATTATTTAATCCTAAGTACCAAATTCTAACAATTATGATTTTTATCCAGCCTACGCATGGTTGTCAAATTAATTAACTAAATAAATTAAACTAATTAAGAAAATAATTAAACACGAGAAAATATTAATATAAAACGGATCTAGGATTTTATCTTCCCCCTATGCGATAATTCTTCACCCAATTAATCTCTTATCATGCAAGTTACGATTCCCGATTATTAACCCAAGACACGAAATTACTCATAACCAGCTGTCGCTGTATTATAAGCCTATTATTCATAAAAGATTCACTATATGTCTATGCAAACCTAGTATAAATAAAGCATTAAATAACAAGTCTCGTAAACGGCTACCTAAGGTATTATCTGTATGTCTACGATAATACATGCAATTAACACACTCATCCGGTGAAAACTACTCGAAGACTCTTCTATCCCTGTTCTAATTATTAAAACGATTTGTCAATCAATTCTAACAAATAACTACTAGCAACATAAATTAGCTACGTTCATGCGCTAAATAAGATCAAGATAGAAGAAATAATCGAAGAATTAAACTTGCATAAAAGTCGAAAAAGAGGTTCGAATTACCACATAGGGTTCCAACAAAATCCTAGAATAAAAACTTAGCTACTCATGTTCTCTACGAAAAGCATAATAAAAGAGGAGAACTATGATGAAGAGTCGTCAAGTCTTCGTCTTCGTTCTTGTGCTCCTTGATTGCGTGTAGAAAGATGAAAGATAAAAACTAAAGATAAAAGATTAAATCTAATTGTGTGCTTTTGGCCTTTAAATAGGGTGCAAAAATATAATATGGCGGGTTTCCTTGTGTAATTAAACTTCCTTCACTGCGCCACCTCGCCAATCCGGACGGCCGTGTGAGAATACGCTTTAAAATCCGGACGGCCGTCCGGTCCTTAATTCTCCAGAATTTCGATATTTTCATTTTTGGCCCACTTTTTCTCCGAATTTGCAGTTTTCACCCCACAAGTTGCCAATTCATCAATTTGCACCTAAAATACAAATAATAACCATTTTAAGCACCAATTATCGTTAAAACACACCAAAAGTTCCACTTAAAAGGTACAATTAAGTGTATAAATATACACTTAACACATATATCTTCCAATTTCGATCCAAATAAATTCAAAAAATTGGAACTCGAAATTTCAGAATTCGGATTGAAAATATTGTTCCCAGATGTAGAATGAAATCAAAAATTCCGTTCCAACATGATGTGTATATATTTGGGCATAAAATGAACAATACACCGAAAAATACTTGTCAAAATGACCAAAACTATGCAAATACAGCTCTAATCATCCATTGGTTGTTTTTTGTCAAAAAGATAACATGGCCGGTCCATTTTGTAATTAAAAAAAGTTGTGAAAAAGAGAAAGTGGAGTATTAGAATATTTGAAAGACAGCCGATGAAAGCTGTTCCTCATTCGGTGTTATTTCACCAAACTGATCGAAATTAAAGAGAAACCATAGCAAATTATTTAAAAATTGAGGATGTGCAATTGATTCTTATTCTTTTCTCAATTATTTCAAGAAATCCTTATCATGCATGTTAATAATAGGTTGTGAAGAAGCATGTGCTAAGATATAATTTTTACATAATTGTTGAAATATATTTTATTAAAATTATTTAATGGTGAATGAGAAATTAATAGATCACATAAATATTTAACTAAAAAACTATAGTTGAAAACTTCACCATTGAAATATGGGGAGGTGTTTAGATACTAATTAATTTAATGGTAAATCCACCACATTATGGTGTTAAATTCAATATAATCTTCTAAATTTCAGAATGATCTCTACCATGTACTTGTTTTGTGCAAAAATGCAGTTTCTGTCAATCTGATATCTATAAGCCAAGAGACACATCTTATGATCGTTTTGTTTTAAAATATGGAGCTCGAATGGGCTCAAACGAGTACAAACTGTAAAATATTTTACATGATCTGGAAGATTTCACTAAATTTGACACTGCAAATGTGGACGTGTGAGAAGATTCACAATTGAGGAGGGTAATTGTAATTACCCAAATAAGATGGGTTTTTTGTCGTAATTTGACATTATCTCAGAGATGGCCTGTAATTTACTCTTAATTTAATATATGTGTTTTATTAATCTGAAAAGGTGTAGTAGAGTCCTTATGAATAGTTATGATCACAAGCATTGAAAATCTATAGATATAATATGAAATCGTCCATTTCAATCACTTCATTCAAAAATTACTCTTGAGGTTCCTCCCTCTTTATCATATATTTTTGTAGATATTTTGTTATGCCTTCTGTTTAGAAGTTTAAAACACATTTATAGTATTCGAGATCTCTTTATAATTTTGGTCACCACTATAAAGTTCTATTGACTAAATAATAATGGCAAATAATATGCTTAGTTGTCAAAATTCACAATTTTTTAAATCTGCTACTAAAATCAACTTCCGCTATTTCATGCTACTATCACCCTTCTCCCTCTAAGTTTAATTTAATAGGAAGTGACTAAAAACAAAAACTCTTTTATCCTTAAAATTACATGTTAATTTTATTAAATAAAAGATTTTTATCGCAAATCATATATAATAACAGAATTTAACGAATCAAACATCTTACTGACTAAATAATTATTTAGTCAATGGAATATTAATCAAATCTCACCATAATGCAATGTAATCCGATATAGGTAAGTAAATGATGCCTTAAATCAATATTTCATCTAATGCACTAAACGTCTTAATAACTAAATAATTAACTAGTCAACAGAGAATTAATCCAATCTCATCTAATCCAAATTAATCGAACGGACTATATTTCCCGTGTATTTTCGCTCACGTTTCTTATTCCTAAGAATCTATGTAAAATTACCTTATGAAGAAAGGTGAAACAATTCCATTCCATTAGTTAATTATTCTTAGCATAAAACGAGTAATTGAAAATGGCTGGCAAACAAAACTCACGAGGGCTGAAAATAAGTCATAATTATGAATGAACACAAAAGAATAACATCACATGGCAACACTGTTTGTCGTACCAATATACAGATCAATTTTTATATATATTGCCAATTAAATTATATTTAATGTTTTGATTGTCACATTACTATATAGTAGTCTATAGAGTCAACTTCACCTAGTGTAACTTCACCCTATTTTATTGTGGTGCATTTGTACTATACATATATTTTCATTACAAAACTCTCCACAATGATTAATAATTCAATATTATTAATTAATTAGTTAATAAGTGAGGTAAATTACAATCATCCCTGGAGTAAGGTTAAATTACGAGAAAAAAAATCTCTCATAGTAATTACAATCACCCCTCTCAACTATGAATTTCTTTACACATTCACGTTTGCGGTGTGAAATTTAGTAGAATCTTCCAGATTATGTGGAATATTCTTCAGTTTGTACCCTTTTTAACCCATTCCAACTCCACATTTTCAAACAAGATGGTCAGAAGATGTGTATCTCGACTTGTAAATGTCAGATTGTGGTGCATTAAAAATTATTTTATTGCACAAAACGAGTACAAATTGAAGAACCTTTTACAGAATCTAGAAAATTTTGTTGAATTTGACACGATGATAAAGGTGGACCTGTAACAAGATTCATAGTTGAAAGTTGATTGTAATTTACCCAAATACTATTTAACAAAATGTTATTAATTGTGTGTGTGTGAGAGAGAGATCCGTACATGAAAGAGACAATGAAATGAAGTTGGAACAAATTTGAGTTGTACCACCATGTGCAAGTCAACCAACCCCAACAAGAATAAATTGACAGTTATTTTACAGTTCAGAGATTTCAGACAACTAAACAAGAATCATAATGAATTGAATTCCCCATAAGAACCTCTCCAAAAAAATAATAATAAAAATTAAAAATAGAAAAGAAGCAAAATAACAAACTTACACAACTAAGCCTCACTCAAATAGTACATTCAAGAATCAACAAATAAGTAAAGTAAAAAAAAATTAAAAAAAAAAATTAATCAAACAACCTGCGACTCCTCTTCTCCAACACCAACAATATCACCACTCGAATCACCCGAACGACAAAGCTCCTCGATTCTAGCAACAACCTCAGATATCACGGGACGTTTATCAGGATACTGCGCGGTGCAGTCGATCGCGAGCTGCAGCATCTGCACCATATCCTCCTCAACGGTCTGATATCGAAGCAGCTCGAGATCGAAAACCTCAGCCGTCCATTCCTCGCGGACAACCGACTGGACCCACCTCGGGAGGTCAACCCCCTCCTCGTTGGTCGACGAGTGGGTCGGCGCCTTGCCGGTGAGCAGCTCCAAAAGGAGCACGCCGAAGCTGTACACGTCGGCCTTGTGGGACGCCTTGCGGGCGTCGGTCACCTCCGGCGCCCGGTACCCCGCGACCCGGTTCGGGGATGCGGCCGGGCCCGACGCCAGCTGTGCGAGCCCGAAGTCGCAGACGCGGGCTTCGTAGGTTTTCGTGAGGAGGATGTTGGACGACTTGATGTTGCCGTGGGCGGTGGTTGGGGATTGGGAGTGGAGGTGGGAGATTCCTCTGGCGGCTCCGAGGGCGATGGTGGCTCTCGTCTCCCAGTTTAGCGGTGTCCGGCTAGCTCCCTTGTTTCCTACAATGTTGGAATCAAACAAAAAGTTCTATTACAACCTATGTTCAACAAAATGACCAGATTTATTCTATGCTGCACTGGGTGAAATATCAAAATCAGACTGACAATTGCAAGAACGAATCGAAATAAGGTCATCGAATCTGGTCCACCAATGGGAAGGAAGGAATCACACAAGATCAAATCACATATGTCCAACAAAGAAAGAACTAAAACACAATCATTTTTACCTAAACAAATTTAAAAAAAAAAAAAAAAAAAAAAAAAACAAATAGAAGAAATCAAGAAAAGAAGAATGTACCATGTAATAGAGCAGACAAGCTTCCCATAGGCAAGTAATCAAAGACAAGTAGCTTCTCATCCTTGTTGAAGTAATAAGCCCTTAAACAAACCAAATTCTCATGCTCAATTCTACCAATCTCTTCCATTTTCTCACCAAACTCCTTCTCCCCCATATTCACATCTCGTATCCTCTTCACCGCCACCGCCAGCCCGTTTTCCATCACCGCCTTGTACGCCGTTCCGTAACTGCCCTTCCCCAAAACCTCCGCCGAAGCCTTCAACAGATCTCCCAAATCGAAACTCCAGTTCGTTTTCCCGACGAAAATTAGCCCCTTCTTCCCACCACCACTCGTCAAACTGTTCTCCCCCTTCTCTTTCTCCTTCGTCCCCAATGCGGCCGCAAAGTTGCCGCCGCCCGCGGCGGCGGCGGCGGCTGCGCCGCCGTCCTCCGCCGGAATATCGACTTCTCTCTCCTTGGAAACAACCTCGTCTTTAGATCTCGCTCCCTTTCTTGACAATGCGCGGCATAAACAGAAGAGGAGCAATAGTATTAAAAGGAAACCGAGAACCGAACCGATTATGATTCCGGCGATTGCTCCGCCGGAGAGCTTCTTCTTCTTTGGGTTTTTGAGGGTGCAAGTATCGATCGGATCGCCGCAGAGGGAATTTCCGGCGAAGGAATTCTTGGGTTTTCCGGCGAGGCTGTCGGGAATTCCGCCGGTGAGGTTATTGTTGGATACGTTGAATTGGGCAAGAAGCGGCAGATTCAAATCGGGTATGGGGCCGGAGAAATGGTTGTCCTGCAAGTAGAGCGTGCCTAACCGGGTCAGGTTGTTGAAGGACGGCGAAATCGGGCCGGAGAAATTGTTTCCGGCCAAATTGACCCGGACGAGTGACGTCAGCGCGAACAGGGTATCCGGAATTTGGCCGCTGAAGAAATTGTGCTGCAAGTAAAGGTTCCGGAGTGAGGTGACGGAGGCGAACATGTCCGCCGGAAGCGGCCCGGAGAGGGCGTTGTAGCGGAGGCTGAGCGTCAGCAGATTGGTCATGTTCGCGAAGGACTTCGGCGGCAGCTGGCCGGAGAGTCCCATTCCGGGGAGATGAAGCTCCACGACGGAGGAGTTCTCCGGCGAGCAGACGACTCCCGGCCACGTGCAGGGGGTGGAGCTCGAGAGGTCCCAGAGAAGGACGCGGCCGCCCACGGCGGAGCGGAGGCCCAGTAGGGCGGCGCGATCGGAGGCGATGTCCGGCGCGGCGGAGGGGAGTAAAATGGCGGCCGTGAACAGGAGGAGGAGCAGGTAGACACTAAAATCCGCCATTTTTGTCCAAAAAAACAAAATCGATCGAGAACTTTTATAGATTTGCGGAAGTGAAAAAACAGAAGTTTTCTCCTTGTCTTTGATTATATTATTTCTAGCCTTCCATTGGTGTTTTTTTCATGTTCTAGAGAGAGAAAGAAGATACAGTGTGTGAACTGTGTGTGAGAGAGAGGAGAGAGAGAGAGAGAGGAGTGCAATATTGTGAGTGAGCGTTCATGTATTAAATCCAATTGGAAACCACCATGTTACTCTTGTTGGCCCACCTAATTTAATGTGCATTTTCTATTGTAAATTCTTGTCTCATCATATTTTATTTTTATTTTTATTTATTATTCATAACGTCTACATTATGTCTAAATTATGTACAAAATACAAATATTTTTGATTTATTCTTGTGCCATAATAGAGGTATAACTTTCTTTTATTGACAAGGAAATCATCAGCTACTCGAAATGTATTGGATAAAATCACGCCATCTGAAAATAACTTGAGAAATGTAAATCATATTATACTAATCATTTGTTAGAGTTCAATTGAGAAAATATTGATAAGAAAATCCGATCACGTAAAATAAGGGCAAATTACGGCCACTCCCTGAGATAAGGTTGGATTACGAAAACACCTTTCATGTTTGTATTATTACAAGAACCCTCTCAACTATATATTCTCTTATATAAAAAAAAACTCCTCTTTTAGTAGGTAAATTTGACATAATAATGATTGATGACAAACGTTTAAAACAATACATGATTAAGAAAGTGTATGTAATTATCCAAATATAAGAGGATTTTTCGTAATTTGATATTACTTCAGAAGGTAGTCATAATTTGGCTGGCAAAATAATCACATGTTCTCTAGTAGTGAACAATTTTATACATGTCATTCGTTTTTTTTTAGTCTAGGTTTCTAGATCATTATTATAGAGACCTCTTTGGACTTACTTTGATATCAGAATCTCTAGATAAAGAAATTACAGCGAAGCACTGTTGGCCGAAAACTTACACGCAAGTGGACGTATCGTATAAGTAATAAAGTGGATTTTTAAGTCCAAGTATCGATCCCACAGAGAATATTTAATTATCTAATCTTAGACGCTAAATTCTACCAATTGCTATCAAGCCCACCCTACACAGTCGAATTTGGAAAAAGGTTAACCAAATTAAACTAAATTAAAAAAGCAAGCAAAAACAAGAAAGCAATTTAAAACGAAATTTAACCAAAGTAAACGAGCCTAGGATTTTATTCTCCCCCCTATGTGATTATTACTCCCCCAATTCCTTCAATTATGCAAGAAATTAACCCGGATTATTAACCTGAGATGCTAAATTAATCATAACCCGCTTCCGCGTGTATTACGATTCTAATACTCTAGATTCAATTACTATATTCCTATGCAAGCAATTCTAGAACACAGCATTAAACACAAATTTCAATAATGGCTACCTAAGAGATTAATTATATTCCTATGTTAATACCACAAAGGCTCTTCTACCACAGTTCTAATTATTAACCCGATCTTCCGATTCATGCGATTAACAATAACATAAAAGCGCATAAAGTGGCCAGTTTCATGAACTTAATAAAACAAGAAGAAGAAATAATCCGGAATTAAAACTTGCATAAAATCATAGAAAAGGGTTCATAAATCCCACATAGGGTTCCAAATAAAATCCTAGAAATAAAGACTTAGCTACTCGTAATTCTTATGATAAATAAAATAAAATAAATAAATTAAATAAGAAAAACTATGCTTGAATCTTCGTTGATCTTCTTTGCTCTTGAATTTGCGTCCAAAGATGGATCCTTAATTGTGTGCTTGACTTGGTCTTATATAGGGTGGAAAAATTGGGGAAGAAGGTAGTTTCCTTGTGCAATTAGGATTCCTTTACTGCGTTTTTTCGTCATCTCGGACGGCCGTCCCGAATTTTGTACTAAAACTCGGACGGCCGTCTCACAACCAGAGACTGCTTCTGGTTCTCAGACGGGGTCCCACAATTTGAACTAAAACTCGGACGGGGTCCGAGCTTTAAATCTTCAGAATTTTGATTTTTTCACTTTTGGCCCATATTTTCTCCAAAATTGCAGTTTTGACCCCATACTTTTCTAATTCTTCAATTTGTACCTAAAATACAATAAATCAACTTTTTAAGCACCAATTATCGTTAAAACACACCAAAAGCTCAAATAAAAAGGTACGATAAAGTGTAAAAATATACACTTAACAAGCACCCTATAAAATCGAATTTCTTTATAAATTTTTTAAGAATCTTGAAAAATAATTTTGAACTTGGTCAAATTATTAGAAGTTGTGGAAAAATTCCTTAAATTTAAAGATCTTTAGGACTTCTAGTAATGAAGATTTTATAGCTAAAACATCTGAAAACAAAAAAAAAAAAAAAAAAAAAATCAAAAAAAAACAAAAAAAAAAAAAAGATTTGCAGGCTCAGTGGATTTAGAACTAACCATTTGGCATGCCCTTATATAATACAAGATGATAATAATTCGTCTACATACATTTCAGCTAATAAGTAAAAAACAAACAAATTATCAAAAAGGTGAGAAACAAACAAAAATTAACAAAACTAAAAATCAAACACATACTGATAATTGGCTTTTCATATTTTAAAAACCAAACATGTCAGGTTTTTTGGTTCGGTGCTACTTGATTTCTCGATTTTCGGTTAACGGTTTTGGTATCAATTCAATTTATTTTCGGTTCCAGTTTTATCTATCAGTTCGGCATAAAACCGATATTTGATTAACTGTGAATTTGGACTTTTTGGCCCATATGTTTGAGGATTAGCAAATAATAGCCTAATTTTAACTAATTAACTAATAAACAGCATGCTGCAACCCAAATTTAAACAATAACCAACCTGCCACAGGCAAAAGAACAAAAATAAACTTATTGTCATTAAAGAAAAAAAAAGGAAAAAATCAGCTTCGAAATTAAAATTAAACTTGCTGCCACAATCCAAAAAAAGTAAGATTACAATCAATAAACCCGATATGTATTCCGTAATATGAAGTGAAAGGATGGTTTTTGAGAAATTAGGGGAAGACAGAGATGTTAAGCATTTATACAATACATTAAAACGACATCATTTTGTACTCTAATCGATTCAGTTTAGTAACCGTTTAGTATTTTTATGTATTCTCTATACACAAATGTATTTTTGACGGTTTTGCAAAAATAACATTGCGTACATGCGGTTTTTAAGACTGTGCATATCGGGTTGTTTATTTCAGTTTTCGGTTATTCGGTATTTTTGCTCTACCCCTAATACTCATCAATAATCTTTAATTTATTTTTTAAAATTATCAATTTTAATTATTTAATTTGTTTCACTCACACACCATGGAGATTAATATTCTATTTTACATGAATAAATTAGTAAAGTTTTCAAACAACAAATATTAAATATTACGTTAATAACTTTAAAAACCTTGTGCCCCCATGTTTGACTAGAAATCTAGACATAATGTCAAACATTCAAACCTCACTAACAACTATGGCACTATTATTTATCTTTCATTATGTGACAATTGAGTGAAAACAAAGGTAATAAGAATTAAAATTATAACATATTATGGTGATGTTTGCAAAAAAAAAAACAAAATTAAATAGATTCTGAGCTTTTTTTTTCATAATTGTTTCTAGGCGTTTGTAAAATAAGTTTTTACTTTTGTTTCTCTTAAAATAAGTTGTTATAAACTATAATTTTAAAACCACTCATGTACATGTTTTTTATATGTAAGTTGATTTTTAGCTAACTTGCAAACACTTCTAACTTTTAAAAATATCACTCAATATTAAAATGGTGTTTGCAAAAGCTTTTAAAAAAACAGAAGTTAGTGATTATGAGTTGAATTAACAGTAAGTGTTTATTTTTATAAGTTGGTGTTAGCAAACTCTATGAAAAATCAATTTCCAGCAACTTATTTTAAAAGAAGTTGGTCTAGGGATGCTTCTTATGTTTTAGCTTAAAACAACTTATTTTTTGAACCCAACAAAGTTCATAATCACTTTTCAAAAACTTTTGCAAACACCAAATAACTTAACTTGCAATCACGAAACTTATGCTTTTAAATAAGCTCCTATTTTAAAATTTAAATACAAAAATTATTATTATTATGATACAATACAATTGAGCTGGAGATTTTGGTTGACTTAAAGAGACACTCCTGCCTGGATTTTTGGATTTCTTTAATTTTAATATAATACTCCAATGTAGGGGTGTAAACGAGCCGAGCTCGAGCCGAGCTCGCCTCTTTTGGCTGGCTCGAGCTCGAGCTCGAGTTTATTTTGTCGAGCTCGAGCTCGAGCTCGAGCTCGCGAGCTCCTCTTTTTTTGGCTCGAGCTCGAGCTCGTGTCAATTTTGTCGAGCTCGAGCTCGAGCTCGAGCTCGAGCCCATTAATTTTTTTTTTTTTTTTTTTTTAAATATTTTTTTAATTATTATTTTATTATTAAAAATTATTTAAAAAAAATAAAAAATAAAAACTAAATTGTAATTATATATATTTTTAATATTTGTATTTATTTCTATAATATTTTACATTATTATACATTATTTAAATAAAAATAACATATAAAAAATAATAAAAAAATAATAATAAATCCGGCTCGCGAGCCGGCTCGCGAGCTCATGAACAACTGAAAACCGGCTCGAGCTCGGCTCATCAGGAAGCTCGAGCTCGCGAGCTCGAGCTCGAGCTCGAAAATCTCGAGTCCGAGTTCGAGCTTTTTACGAGCCGGCTCTTCGAGCTCACGAGTCGGCTCGGCTCGTTTACACCCCTACTCCAATGTAATATAGTAAGTAATATATTATATATAAAAATTAATTTTATATTATCCCATGTGGGCCACCGCATTGATTGACATTCATATATCATTTATTGGCATTTGGCACCCAATAGCCGTTATTATTAACTTATTATACTCACCACCACCCCCAACTATACCTTTTCTTTTGTTTTTAAATTTCAAAAAATCAAAATTAAAAAAACAAAGGTAATAATAATTGAACATGTGCTCGAAAAGTGGAAAGTAATATTGAAACTATATAGATTTAATTTAATTCTTCTTAGAAATAAATATTACATATTTTAAGAAAATTGAAGGAAAAATATTTTGAAATGTATTTGGTTTGTAATTAATTTATGAGTTAATTGTATTTTCGTGTTTTTGAAACGTGTTATTTCAAATTACAAACTTTTAGATATACATATTAAAAAATAATAAAATAAATACATAGAGAAACAATTATTTACTTAACAAAAAAAATTAATATTTATTAAATACATTTTTTGAATTATGTTTTGAAATCTCTACTAGTTTTGAAAACGTATTTTTTTAAATGTACTTTATTTTTAAAATTCAAGTTGTCAAACACACTTCAATTATCCTCCATCATTCATCATGAAGTATTTTTTTTAATTTTTTTTAATATATTATCTTTTAATAAATTTACTATGTATAATATTATTTTAAAAATGCATAAATAATTATTTATTAAAAAAAAAAAAAGAATAAATGGAAGGGGTGGGCCTTACTATTTTTGGATGAGCTGGGCCAGGCCGAACCCGTAGAAGGAACTCCGTGGTCTGTAATTGCATAAATAATTATTTTTTTAATGAATTTTATTCGAGAGAAATAAACTTTTGGTCCTTTATGTTTAGTCCCATTTCACTTTTTGTCCCTATTGTTTTAAAGTGGACAAAATAGACATGAAAAGATCAGATTCAACACATTTTGTTACCATTTTGTGCTAAAAAACCTAGGTTTCAGTCAGTTTCTGGTTTACGACAGTTCAACCGGCATACTGGACCGGGCAAAATAACAGTTCACGATTCAACCAGTTAAACTGACGGATCCGATCCTAATTTCAAAACATTGAACAGAACCCCAATTTCTAATTTATTTCATTGTTAACTTTAACGTCAATAGACAACAATAGTGTAATGGTTGATAATGAGTCTAATAAACTATTTTTTTTAATGATTTTGCAAAATATATAAAAGGGACAAGAAAATATAAATAAACCAAAAAATCACATTCTATGAGATTATAAATTTTCATGTTAAGTTATCCTGATGATCCCCGAAATAATGTTAAATTACATAAAAAAATCCATATTATTTGAGTAATTATAACCATCAATAAGGTATCCCCCATCTTACATTTCTCCGCTTACGAAGTTAAGACTAACATAATCTTCCATATTCTAACGAATACTCGTCTGAAATTTCCAATTTTACCCGCATTACATGTTTCATATCTTTTTGCTTATTTTTTTTGACCAAATTACCTTAAGCGGTGTAAATGTATATAATTTCATTTTACGATGATCTTTTTGTAACTTTTTTGAATATAAAAATTTGACCCATTTTAATTCCACTTGCTATCTGGGTATAATATTTATTTATTTATTTATTATTGTTATTAGTCTAAAAAGCAGTTTGCCTCCTAAATTTAAGATTGTTTTGCAGTTTGCCCCCTAAACTCCCACGTTTTTACCTGAACTAGTTAAAATATTGTACGGTGCCCCCAAACTAATTTTCAGGCAAATTTTGGCCAGAATATTGAACATGTGCCTTGCACGTGAGATTTGCAGGGATAAATTTGCCCATTCACTTATATTCTAGGGTAAATGACACCCCTGAGGTATGCTAAAATAACCTTAAGGTCCATGTGGTATTGGTAATTATGGCTAGGGCTGGACATGGGTCGGGTCGGGAAATTATCGGCCAATTACCTACCCGACCCAACCACCCGATTTTGCTGTAAGTTGAAAAATATTATTGCCCCGACCATTATGGATCGGGTAATAGTTGGCAATAGACTTTATCGCGTAAACAATGGGTGGACGGTCGGTATTATCGGTCATCTATTTATTGTTTTTTTTTTATATATATATTTTTTAAACTCTTTTTTATAATAGTATGATGTTTTTAAAAAAAAATTCAAAATTTATTCAAAATTTTGGGAAAACCTATGTTATAAAAATTAACTTTAAAATTAAGAGTTTTTTAATTAAACTTCTACGATAAGTAAATATATAATGAAAAATGTGAAATAGTTAATTCTTCCCCCAAAACATATTTCCTCAAAATAAAATCAAAATAAGTTCCAAAACGCTTCCAAACATTGCCTTAAATTTCTAGTCCAAAAAAATTTAAAATTTCAATTTTGGCTCCAAAATTGTGTTTTCCGTTACTTGCAAACATACATGTAACGGTGATGACAAAAAAATTTTAAAATTGAACTTTGGAGGTGAATTTTGTACACTTTAGAACAATAGAGACCAAAAGTGGAATTAGATCAAACATTAGGGACCAAAAGTGTAATTCTTCCGAGAAAGAACAGAAGAGTAAAGCAGCGGTTTTCGAAATTCCATTTTAACCACCACCAAGGCCAAAACGGCGCCGTTTATAAAATTCCCTCTTTTTTTTTTGGATTTTCAAAACCCTTGATTCATAGTTCATACTCATTCGAAAACCTCACGCGAAGCAATTTCGAAATCAAATTCAAAACTATCGAATCCGTTTCTGCGATTAAAAAAAAAAAAAAAAAAAGAAGCAAAAACCCCTCTTTTAATGCTTTCCAATCAATGGTTGAATCGAATCAGGCATCAGCGATGGTTGTGGTTTGGCTGTTGAGGGCGGGGTGGATTGCAGCGACTCTGCCGATTGTAATCGCTTCCGTTCCGTCGTCCAAATTCAGCGCGTTTCACGATTTGGTGCTTTGGTTCGGTCGCCGCGGAAAAACTATGGAGTCTTCATCTAAGGCGAGTACCACTTTTTTCAGTTAATTTTAGTTAGTAATTTGAATTTTTTGGTACTAATTCATCGTGTTGGAGTTACTAATTTCAGTAATTTTGGTGAGAAGTATTGTTTACAGGATTTTTTAGCTGATGTTTTAGTTAATTTTAGTTAGTAATTACATTTTTTTCGTACTTATTCATCGTGCCGGAGTAGTAATTTCAGTAACTTGATTTGTATGCATAAGAGTGGCTGTGTGTGTGTGTGTGCGCGCGCGCGCGCGCGTGTGTGTGTGTGTGTGTGTGTGTGTGTGTGTGTGTTTGGCGATTTAACAGACCTTTTTATGTATATTTCATGGCCATTTGTGGACTTGGATCTCTTCGTTTAATAAATTGAGCTCGTTAAACAATCTTGTGTTCTAAAATGTGAGTTGTAGTGTTGAATGCGTTGAACTCGGGAATTTATTATTCGACGAGTGTGATAGTGTAAACCAGGTATCTTTATCGAATTAGTGTAGTTTCTCCCTTATCCGCGCAGTTTTGACGTCCCTACAATTTCATTGTGTATCACATGAGATTGAGCCATAAATTAAAATCAGAGGTTCCGTAAATCTTATAATCTCTTTCTAAAATACATAGAGCTTCGCTATAAATTTTATAACGTAAAAGGCGATCGTTTATATGCATTTTTAGTATATGAATTTTGCTATTTCCTATATCTATTTCATTGTCTACATCCTGTGGAATTCAAGATTCTTTATTTTTCCCTCCAACGTGATTTTTCTAGTTAGCGTAACAATTTGACCGGTCTTTTGTAATGCAGAAACTCTCGGTACCTCAAAAACTCTTTTGTCACTTTTACATTCTGGCAGTAATATGGACTACGTTTCTGCTTGTTGCCACATGGCTGTATGCATATAAAACAGCTCCAATAGTTTCCGAGCCAGTGCTATATTCGAGTATAGCTAGCCAATTGACTGGAGTTTCACATGAGCTTTCTGTGCATAAATCTCATTTATCATTGAGAGGATACAAATACGGGATCTGGAAATCCGTGTTTCTGCTTTTCTTGATGGAAACTCAAGTTTTACGGCGCCTTTTCGAAGGTATTTACGTATTCAAGTACAGCCCCTCAGCTCGGATGCATATTGTCGGCTATCTCACGGGACTTTTGTAAGTCTTGCCCTTTTCTATAACGTAACGTGTTTGTTCTACTCGGGTGGTTGATTAATAACCTAGTTTCTAATGATAAATAAGTGTTGTTTAATAGCAATAAAATATGAGTTTACAGAAATTGTATGTTTCTTGATTAGGAGGAAGGTAATACCGTAATATAGTGAATAAAGTGTATTTGGAGATTCATCATTATCTTGAAATATTGATATAAAATAAAATCCCATGTTATCCCTGTAGTTATAATTAGAAACAAACCATAAAAAAAAAAGGTTCACCTCCACTTACCACTTATCTTTCTGGCTATAGCTTTTATACGGCAGCTCCACTATCCCTCTGCTCCACATATGCTTTGGAGGTGTTCGAATTTGTGACAAATATGTCTGCAGAGTTTGTTGTCAAAGGGAAGGATAGAATGCAAGTTACAGAATATGATTTGTGGGGGCATTTGAATCCGCTTATACACCTCAAATGGTATGTCTGGATCGGTGCAGCTTTTTTCTCCTGGGGTTGGATTCATCAACGCCGTTGTCATGCTATTCTTGTAAGGCTCCTATGCCCCGTTCTTATATTTTAATGTTGACAAGTATATGATTTCTATTATGCTTGCCTCGTAATTATTTATGTTACAACAATAATTATATTTTCTCTTCACCATTTGGGATATGTGCGTGTTTGTCAGTAAGTACACGAGTAATATTTTCTTTTATGTTAGCCTCGTAATATTTCTCTTTGATTTTTCCCCGAAAAAAATCAGGGCTCTTTAAGGGAGAATAATCAAAAGGTCAACGACTATACAATTCCTCACGGCGACTGGTTTGAATATGTCTCGTCTCCACATTATCTTGCAGAAATTGTAAGTATTTTTATTCTTATTTTTCCTGTAAATAGTAGTACTAAAAGCCTGCAATTTTTCTCCGAAGCAATTCTAGTTAGGTCTTACGATTTTTTTGCATTTTTCTCATGGAGGTTATGTATGGAGGGCTTGTGATTGCTAGTGGATTTTCTGATATTACAGTTTGGTTACTCTTCGGATTTGTGGTACGTTTTAAATTCATGGGAAGTAAATGTGGACGATGATGCTTCACAGTATGTCGTAATTGTAAATACTTGTATTGTTGCAGGTGGCAAATCTTTCCTTTACGGCTGCTGAAACGCATAGGTGGTATATACGTAAATTTGACAGCTACCCTAGAAACCGTTGTGCAATCATTCCTTTCGTTTACTAATAATGTTTATAATGACCTAGTAGTTGTATTTACAAAGGACAACTCTGAACGTCAAATTTTTTTATTTTTAAATTCAAAGTTTCATCTCCTCGACAAGTTGGCAGTAGCGCAAGTATCAATCGCGAAAATTGATCAATGCATTCTAAAATCGAAGTAGAACAAGACGTAATTGTTTGCTTGGTGAGAAAGAGAAATGATCACAAAAATGCATGGTTGGATCATTCTTACATTTCCCAGGTATTCATAATGATTTACGGGGTCGGAGATCAAATTAAATCTCATGTATGTAGACTCAACGAGATCATTTAGACACGACGATGACGAGAGAGTTCATTCTTGAGTGACTTGATCAACGCATTCGTTTCTTGGGAATACGATAACTGCAGTCATTTGCGTGCACATGTGGTGACAGAGCCATGCAACTTCATCGAATTACTTTTCTATGTTTTCCAATATTATTGAATGAAAAGAAAAAAAATAGTCGAGTTCAATAATCGTACGAAATTATTAAAACGATATGGAATACATATATGAGAATAAGATAATTAATTATTAAGGGGTCTACTCAGACGACCTTGGAACACTGCTTTTCGATGAATCGTTTGGTCTCAGAAATGAGTTGCGCCGATTCTTCGAGTTCTGGGAAAACGTAGAAAGCATGTATCATTTTTGGGTACTCCACAAGATAGGCTTCCTTGCCCGATTTCTTCAGCCACTCGTAGTACTTTTTCTGCCAATCTTTGAGTGAATCGAAGCCCGCCACCACCACCATGGTTGCCGGAAAATCCAATTCCGATATGTCGGCAGCCTTAGGGCCGCTAACGTTGATCACCTCGTGGTCGCGGTCCATTCCTCCACCTGGCGGCATGAACGCCTCCCACATCCAATCGGTTTTCCGGATTGACACAATTGCGTCAACTTCGGCTAACTCTAGCTCCGACTCGGTTCGATCCTCTCCTCCGAAAAAGGGTTGTATGGATATTAATCCAATTATCTAAATAAAAAATAAAATAAAAAATTGATATACGATGATGCAAGTTCTGTATGATATGAAAATTTTGCTTACACAAGAAAATTTGGTGATGGGTTAAACATAATTTATTATTTTTGCAAAAACAATAAACTTTTTTCATTTATCTTTGTATATAAAGTAAGAAATACTAGGGCAACTTAAGAAATTCTAATGGCATATATGTAATTTCTTAAAATTAATTATTAGTATTTATTTTCATATTCTATTTTCCAAATCAGATTTATAAATCCGCTTGCAAAATCATAATGCATTTGGAGTGTATTTTTTTAATCTTTTCTCTCTCTTACACACCGATGCAACCTCGTGCATCGCACGGTGGGAATTACTAGTCACAAAACATATTGTAGGGTCCGACCTTATATGAGACGAAAAATACAAAATAAGTCAAGAAGTTTACACGAAAAATACACCTCAAAGCAATAACTTAGGAATTTCAAATAACTCTCCCTAATCGTATCGTATACACAAATCATATCTCTATATAACTTAGCCAAATCTTCTTTAGTCTTTTGTTTTATTTTTTCTATTGTAATAGATGATTGAAATATATATATTAACTTGAATATTCTAACATGAAACATCATATTAAGAATAAATATTGCCAAATGAACACTTATAATTTTTAGCGCAAATTACGGCCACCTTCCTGGTGTATGCTCAAATTACGAAAATACCCTCTCATGTTTGGGTAATTACAATCACCCGTCAACTATGTATGTATTACACGTCCACTCTTATGTTTTAAATTTACCCACTAAATGAGATGTTTTTTTATTAAGAATTGATGGATGTATCAGTTATCCAAATATAAGGGGTGTTTTCCGTAATTTAAACTAACGTAGAGATGGCCGTAAGTGCGCTTATGGTTATCAAGATAAAGTCGGATTATAAAGACACATTGTAATGAAAGCATGGAGCAATAAACCATAGATGAATAATTGAATGATTGGGAATGGGTTGGGGATGGGGAAAGATGAATGCTTGCCTTGATGTGAGTAAATTTCGACTCGCAGGCGCGTTTCGTCACGTGGTGGGCGATGTTCGCTCCAGCGCTGTCACCGGCAAGAAAACAACGCGACAGGTCAGCATTTTCCGGCAAGATATCCCTCCGGTCGTCGATGTATCTGAGGACGTCGAATCCGTCATCGTATTGAGCCGGGTACCGGTGCTCGGGGGCCAACCGGTAGTTGACCGACACCACCACGGCGGGCGTCTTCCGCGCGAAGCGGCGGCAGACGGCGTCGTAGGCCTTGAAATCCGGCGCCAGATGGACGAATCCTCCACCGTGGAAGAAGACGATTAAGGGGAGGAGCTGGGAATCAGATCCGGTGGATTCGGAGTGTGAAGGGACGAAGAGGCGGAACCAGAGGTCGCGGGAAGTGTCGACGGCGACGTCGGAGGTTCTGACGCCGTTCCGGGGTTTCGGATTGGCCGGCGTCCGGAGACTGAAGTTGTCGAAGAAATGAAGGAGGCGGCGGTTGACGGTGCCGTCGCGGCGGCGGGCGGCGTCGCTGGCGGTGTTGATGACGAAGAGACTGATGCGGGTCTTCAATGGGAGAGCCGGACGCTTGTCGCCGGGGTGGGAATTTTTTCGTTCAGACATTTTCACAAACACCTGCGAGTGGTGATGGTGATTGCTGATTAGTGACGGTGATGATGATATAGTTAGTTGGAAGAAATAAATGGCCTATGTAGTAGTTACGGTTTAAGTAATATCATGCTTTAAATGTAGTCAAAAGAAAAAAGAAATAATCTTTGCCTTTTTTTTTGCACCAAAAGGCGAAATCCCTCGTCCACAGGGCCCCCATCCCTTGGCCCGACAAAAGGGCCTGACAAGGATTGATGGAGGAATGTAAATCATGGTAACTCAACGGCCCGTTAAGGTAGCGGACCCGGACCTAGTGCCCACAAGGAACCAACCCTCATTGGAGTTGAAATTCCCACACTGCGGCTGTCAGGATTCGATCCTAGGACCTTGCAACAACTTACCACCTCCAGAACTAGTTGAACTACACACATGCGGGCTCTTCGCCTTTTTTCAATATATTAAGGGCTGATTATAGACACAAGCTCATTTTAAATATTTTTACATAAAATTTTGTGTAATTCGGTTATTTACCGACTCAAATTGTATATTTAGTTGGGTAAGCAGTATGAAATGTTGGTGTACCAAAATTTCGGTTCGATTTTATCAATTTGGCAGCCCTAAAAACTTTTTTGTGGAATGGTATTTTCGTAAGATAATACATAGTTGAGGGGTGGCCGTAATTTGCCATATTTTAATTAGAAAAAAAAAATTTCTTCTTAAATCTATCAATTTAGAATTTTTAAGGAAAAAGTACAGTTTTTGCCCCTCAAGTTTGCACTGATTTAACTTTTAGTCCTTTATGTTTCAAAAATTAAATATTTTTAGTCATTTCCGTTAATTTTTTGTTAGTACTAGTAGACTCAAGTGTGAGTCCATTTCTGCCTTAACTATCAAATTAATGGTAAATTGACGAAAAATGGCCAAAAATGCTAAATTATTGAAACATGAACGACCAAATATGTTTTTTTAATATGAGGAACTGAATGTAAAATCAGTACAACTTTGAGGAACGAAAACTCTTATTTTTTTCAATTTTTCATGTAGCAGCTACTATTTAAGCCATTTTGCTATTTATAACTCATAGTTTATTTCACAAAATAATTATCTCAAATAAAAGAAATAATTAATAGAGATACAATTAGTTGGATGGACATTTTTTTTATTAAATTCCAATTAATTGGCCGGTGAGAGCTCTAAATTTGGTTCAAAGTTAGTCCAACAGAATTTAATATTTTAAAGACTTAAATACACATTCCCCTTCAATTATGGTGTGTCTAATATTTACCCCTCCAACTATCAAAATGTAATATTTACCCCCTCCTACCTATTTATAAATTTTTAATACAATTGATAACAATATCAAAAGAAGTATGTATAACCTTAAAAGTTGCTAAATACATTTAATCACAGCACATACAATACGAAATTATAATAATTTAATATATAATTATAATTATATTAATTTTTATTTTATATAAATTAAAAATTATTATTTATGACTAAAATAAAAAAATAAAAAATATTTTTGACTGTTTTTCTTTCTAACAACGGATCTATTTCAAAAATATCAACACTTATTAAGAGAGTCAATACCTCGCATTGATTATTAGGTTCATGTTTAGAGTTTATCCCACCTTTTTATTTAAAATTTTATAATGAATAAAAATAGTAAATAAGCTTATTAACCAAACACTTAAAAATTAATTCTAAAAATAAGATGTAATAACTTATTAGCTTTTAAATATCTTATTAAACGTAGAGCTTATCACCTGTTTAAAATAAATTCAACCAAACAAGCAATTTTGTTTAGAAATACTTATAACTACATATGCCAATAGAATTATCTATAGGAGAAATAGAATTGGAGAAAAGAGAGAATTGTGTCTCTCACGTATATTAATCATATATACAGTTACATGTAGGAAACCCTAACCTATTACACAAGGTAACCTATTATACAAGGTAACTATAATAATAATAATAATAATAATAATAATAATAATAATAATAATAATAATAATAATAATAATAATAATAATAATAATAATAATAATAATAATAATAATAATAATAATAATAATAATAATAATAATAATAATAATAATAATAATAATAATAATAATAATAATAATAATAATAATAATAATAATAATAATAATATATGTAATATATATAATATATACGCTAATACACCCCCGTAGTCGAAACGAGAAAGGAGAGGACGTGGAGACTGGAGACAAACTGCTGGAACAATTGAGTAGGGAGTCCTTTCGTGAAGATATCGGCAAACTGGTAGGCGGATGAGACGTGAAGAACGCGAACGTGTCCCAAAGAAACTTTGTCTCGGACAAAGTGGATATCGATCTCCACATGTTTTGTACGAGAGTGTTGAATAGGATTGCTGGATAGGTAGACGGCACTGACGTTGTCATAGTAGACAATAGTGGCTTTCGAAAGTGGGTAGAACAACTCAGAAAGTAGGTTGCATAACCAAGTCGTTTCGGCAACGGCGTTTGCGACAGCTCGATATTCAGCCCCCGCACTAGATCGAGAAGTAGTGACCTGTCGTTTGGAGGACCAAGAGATGAGGTTGTTGCCGAGGAAAACGAAATAGCCCGGTGTCGAACGACGAGTGTCAGGACAGCCACCCTAATCGGCGTCGGAGTAAGCGATAAGAGAGAGGTCCGGATTGGGGAAGAGGAGAAGGTCGTAGTCGAGAGTGCCAGGAATATAACGAAGGATACGCTTGAGAGCAGCCATATGAGGTTCCCACGGATCATGCATGAATAGACATATTTGTTGCACATCATAGCAGATGTCGGGACGGGTAAATGTGAGGTATTGCAGTGCACCGGCAAGGCTGCGATAAAGAGTAGGGTCAGCAACGGGGGGTCCAGTGGTCGAAGACAACTTGCTTTTTGTGTCAGCAGGCGTAAGACAAGGGTTGTAGGAAGCCATGTGTGCACGCTCTAGTATCTCGTCGGCGTACTTGCGTTGAGAGAAAAATAGCCCATTCGACGAGCGAGTAACTGAGATGCCGAGAAAGTAGTGAAGATCGCCAAGATCCTTCATTGCGAACTCTTGATTAAGGGCAGCGATGATAGAGCGGAGCAATTCAGGTGTGGAGGCCTGTCATCGACATACAGTAGAAGGTAGGCGCATGAACTGTTGCGACAATCGCGTGAACTGTTGCGACAGTACTCAAAGAGTGAAGTGTCGGACTTGCATTCTCTGAACCCCATGGTAGTGATGAGATGCAAAACACTTGTACCAAGCACGTGGTGCCTGCTTCAGACCGTAGAGTGTTTTGTTGAGACGACACACGTGAGTGGGGCGAGATGGATCAACGAATCCGGGAGGTTGCTCGCAGTAGACAGTTTCAGAGAGATTGCCATGTAAAAAGGCATTTTTCACATCAAGCTGGTGGATTGGCCATGATCGTGAGAGAGCAATACTGAGAACTGTTCGAACAGTGGCTGGTTTGACAACTGGGCTAAAAGTCTCGTCAAAATCGATGCCAGCCTGCTGGTGAAATCCGAGAACAACCCACTGTGCTTTGTATCGCTCAAGGGAGCCATCAGACTTGAGTTTATGTTTATATATCCACTTACCAGAAATAACATTAGTGAACGGGGGGCGGGGCACAACATTCTAAGTATTGTTTTTAATTAAAAGCAGTATATTCCTCAATCATGGCGTTTCGCCAATTTTGGTCAAGAAGAGCTTGGCGATAGTTGGTGGGAATGGAAGAGGTAGATGACGCAACGAGAGAGAAAAGGACTTTCGGTTTGTGGATGCCCACTTTACTACGAGTCACCATAGGGTGAGCAGGGGGAGGTGGGAGAAGTGTGGGAGTAGGAGAAGGAGATGTGGAAGTGGGAGAAAGGGTTGTGAGCTGGTCGTGGTCGAGAGGTGGTGTTGCAGGTGAAACAGGTGTTGGCTGTGTTATATGACTGTTGGACGAACTGTTGGAATAGGGTGGTTCACTGTTGGAACAGTTGGAGGAACTGTTGCAACAGTTAGACGAAGTCTGAGGGAGGAGGAACATGGAGGGTGTGTTTTCGTCCAAGGCAGAGGTAGGAAATGTGTTTTTTGGGGAGTTGACTCAGCAAAAGGAAAGTGAGTTTTGTCGAAGGTAACATGACGAGAAATTATGATTCGGTTAGTGGATCTATCAAGGCAACGATAGCCTTTGTGAGAGGAAGGATGACCGAGATAGACGCAATGAGTAGAACGGGGGGCGAGTTTATGTGGTGTGGTGGCGGTGAGGTTGGGATAACAGAGACAGCCGAATACTCGAAGATGAGAGTATGTAGGTTTGATGAGGTAAAGAGCTTCGTGAGGGGTCCGGTTTTGTGTGGTTTTGGTAGGTAAGATATTGAGTAGGTGGGTGGCCATATGAAGGGCTTCTACCCAATAAGTATGGGGAAGATGAGCTTGATAGATGAGGGATCGAATCATGTTAGTTATAGTGCAGATCATTCGTTCTGCGTGTCAATTTTGAGGGAAGGTGTGGGGACACGAAAACCGATTTAGGATGTCGTGTTTAGTGAAGTAGTTTTAAAAATCTGCATTTTTTGAATTCACGACCATTATCACTTTGTAAGTCTTTCAGGGGATGTTGGAATTGAGTTTTGAGAAGTGTATGAAAATTGACAAAGGTTGTAAAAACGTCAAATTTATTTCTAAGAGGAAAAGTCCATAAATAATGGGTAAAATCATCAACTAACACAAGATAATATTTGAAACCCGTAAGACTAGAAACAGGAGAAGTCCATAAATCAGCGTGAATAATTTGAAATGGAGCAACACTAGTAGATTTTTGAGAAAAAAATCGTAGACGAAAATATTTGCCTAATTGACAGGCATTGCAAAGAGACTCCCTAGGGTCTTTATTATGGGAAAGAAAAGTGTTAGAAAATAAACGTGACATGACGTGTTTGCCGGGATGGTCTAGACGCCGATGCCAAAGAGTGTGAGACGAAGGTGTTGCGATGGTGAGGAAAGCAGCGGGAGGTGAAGTGGGAGGAGGGACGCCAAATGGATATAGGTCACCGGAGCTATTGCACCTGAAAATCTCGACTCGACTCCGAAGATCCTCACAAAAAAACCAAACGGGTCAAATTCAACCAAACAT